GACGCCCTCGTTCGGCGCGGGATCGCGCTCGACCTGCAGAAGGTGTGGCCAGGGGGGCCGCGTGCGCAGCTTACGCATCTGGCGTTTGCCGACGATGCTGTGGTGGTGGTGGAGTCACCGGCGGCATTGTCGAAGCTGCAAACGCTGTCGCAGACGTGGTACGAGGCTACCAACGGGAAGACCAACACGGACAAGACGCTGGTGCTACCACTCGGACCGAACTGGCTTCGGGACGAGACTGCGCAGGCGCTGCCAACGGTGCAGGAGGGGGAGAGCTTCAAGTGGTGCGGCTATGCCTTCTTTCGCCACGGTGACTCGAAACTGTTTTGGACCCATGTTCTTGACAGGATCAAGGCCAAGACCCGCGCCGCTCGAGACCGGACACTTTCGCCGAGTGGGAAGGTTTTCTATGCCAACGCTCACATCATCTCGACGGTCCTCCACGTGCTGTCCTTCGACATACCGCCTCAATGGTTCATTAAGGCGGCGGAGACGGCACTTACGGACTTTGTCTGGGGAGGAGCAGGGCGAAATACCGTCGCTCGCGATTTCGTGTTCCAGGCTCGGGAGGACGGTGGCTTGGGTTTGATTTCGATTGGCGACATCGTTCATTCGGTGGCGCTTCGATTTTGGGATGCTGTGGCGGGCTCGGACGAGGCGATCTGGGCGCCCCTAGCTCGCGAGAGCTGGAGGTGCCTCGTCGCTGCGACCCGCGATTTCAGTCCGTGGGGGTTCTTCAGCAGCACGGCTCGGGTCGAGAAGCTGTATCGCGACTCGACGCGCTGGGGGGCAGTCGTTGCAGCGGCCAGGGTCACAGTTCCAACCATCAAGTCCGAACTCCTTACGCTTCCCGAATTGCTCTCGCTTCCGCCTCGCCTCCCTTCACTCTATGCTGAAGGTGCCCAGCACGCATATGACGATGCGGACGCGGTGGCGAAGTTTGCGCAGATCGCGGACCTGTACTGGAGGGACGAAGGGAAGGGATGGGCTCTGGTTGGTCATCGACGCGGGTTCTGGCAGCACTCTAAGGAACCCGCCCTACAGCACGAGCACGTGTGGTCGCGCGTGGGTCAGTTGCTCAAGGCGAAAGCGTTGCTGCCCAAGACCGCGTTGCGACCTGCTCGGATACCTCTCAAGGAGGCTCCCCGTCCTCGGTGCTTCAACTTCTTTGGGCTCTCCCGACCTTTTACGATTCGCAAGCTTCGTCGGCTTGTGAACAAGGTGCGGTTCCCAGGGAGGGAGGACCGTGTCAAGCGTTTCCCTGATGGGACTTCTCAGAGCGATAGGAAGCGCTTCTGGAGATGGCTTCATGACCGGTTCGCGTCTGCTGTCGAGCAGGACACCCACTGGCGGTTCATGTACGACGTGACGCCGACGCGCAAGAGGCAGTATACTCAGGGTCATGCCTCTTCGCCGACGTGTCTGTTCTGCGGCAACGATGCAGCGGTCATCGAGACGGTGTCCCACTACTTTTTCGAGTGCGCGTACTCGACCAGCTTCTGGGGTGGGGTGCTACGCATTCTGCTTGACAAGCTCGGCATCGAGGATACCGACGTCGATCCGTCGACGTTCACTCCGGAGCAGCTGACTATGGGGCTCCCCCTTTTGCGGGGTCGTGGGAGAACGACCTCGAAATGGATGTGGGTTCGGCTGGCCTGCGCGATCGGCTTCCAGCGGCTGCACCTGCTCCGCTGGCGCGTTCATCAGCGGTTCGAGCTGGACAACGTCGTGGCCCCTCCCTCGCTTCCCAGTGCGCTCAGAGCGTTCGAGCGAGATTTTCTCTCTCGAGCGGGTTTTGTGCCTGGGGTTCGAGATTGGGAGGTGTGATGACCGAGTTAAGTCCTTCCTTCCCATTTTTCTCCCCTCCTTTCCTCCCTTCCTTTTCGGTCAGAAGCTGACTGTCTTGAAACTTGTTGCGCAGTGGAAGGCTGCGCACCTCTCCCTCTCTCTACTTTGCGCAGTAGCGATTTTCGTTCTTGGATGGATCGGCAAGCCGGGTCGATCGTCGTTGCGTTGGAGGCTTTGTGAAGTTCTCCCCTCTCTTTCCCCTTTCTCCCTTCCCTTCCTCTTCTCGTTCCTGTTGCTCGGTTGTTGACTACGCTTCAGCCACTTCTCCTTTTATTCCTAAGTCGTGTGTTGGATTCCGTCGAATGGATCGTTCGTTCGCGTTGGTCAAGATCTACGGCATGGATCGGGAAGAAAGGTCGCTCGTTTTTTTGGTCAATATCCTCGCGTCAAGGCGAGGCTCGTTTCGTTGTATTGGATCGTTTTCGCTCGGCCCCGACGGCTCAACAGCCAGCACTCGAGACTCAGCCAAGGGAGGACATCAGGCGCTGTCGGGGTGACGAGTAGCTGGGGCTTGGCTGCGGCCTGTCAGTCCCTGGGGACCTCTAGCTCTGGCTTCGACCCCCTCCCTTGGCCCCTCGGGTGTGTTCCCCTCCTCCTCCCCTCCTCTCTGTCTTAGTATTCCTGGTTCTCCGTGTTTCCAGTCGTGAATGTTTGTATATTCTCCCCTTTTCTTTCTCTAGGCGCTCTTGCCTGGTTTTCGAGTATCTTCGCTCCCGCTCTTGGGACGTGAAGCGGCAGCAGTACTCACCGCCCGTTGGAGTCCGCGTTAGGTGCTCGGCGAGTTTTGATCTGCGTAGCGCTCTTTGCGCGCAGGGGTTTGACTTTCACCCAATTGCTTGCCGTCGTTGCTTTATAACCTCTTTTAGCTCTTTTTCTAGCGGTCCCAGCCAACCCGAAGGATTGCAATTTATGAGCCCCAGTAAAAAAATTTAAAAAAAGTGTTATCATCGTCGACTTCCATCTAGTTTTTCTGTAGGCCAAATAGGGGGAACATGAACTGGGGGCAATATGATGAACAGGTTCTACAAAAAAAAAAAAAAAAAAAAAAAAAAAGGAGTTCCAGGTGCTCGGCGGGTTTCGATCTGCGCGGCGCTCAAGTTGCGCGCAATGGCTTAACTTTCTATCCGTTTATCGTCATTGCTTAGAAAATAATCTTGGCTATTCTTGTAGCGGTCCCAACCAACCCGAAGGTATGCGACCCAACTCTAGAATGTTTCTTGAGCGTGGATGTCGGATTAGATCACGTGACAAGCACCTCGAGGCGGCACCGGCGGGGCCCCACTCTTGTAGTCGACCCACCATCCTCCAACAACTTCAATCGTCCTTCAACAGGGCGGAATTATGAGCACCTTCCTTCTATGATGGGGGGATTGAACCCAACAAAGGGACCTCTGAAAAGTCTCGCTGCGGAGCGACTGATCGGAAGGCCGAGGCCCGCTTCCCTAGCTCCCTTTGTACTTTCACCCCCACGTGCGCATTCGGCGCGAATTGTTTGTGTGTTCGGAGACCCCTTCCTCCATGGAAGGCAAAGCTGACGCGGCACCGTGCTCAAGGTGGGTTCAGGGTTGGATTAGGAGGTATATGTAAGGCGCGCGCCTTACTACGGGCCACAGGCATTAGAAATAGAGATCGCGCGCACCTAGCTTCTTCAGTTCCCTCCTCATCGGGCTGACACCAGAAGCTAGGTGAGTACTGGTGTTCCATCTCTCAGCACTCTCGTAGCTCATCGGTCTGACACCAGAAGCTAGTTGCAATCCATATAACTTGCACCTGTCAGCTTAGGTCGCCAGTGAGGCTCGAGAGCGATCTCGTGCCTTTCAGTATAACGGCATCAACGATCGAGCAAGTTTTATTATACATTCCCCGGATAGTGGAGGTGCTTACATGTGGTATTGCTCAGGGAAGCATCAGATTGCAAGGCTGAAGATTACCTCCACAAAGGTCGTTCTGCGCCATCCACCATTTCTTCATTCGGGAAGTGCCTACGATCGAGAACCGTTGGGTGCGGCTGGCCTGACGCGATACCCCGGGTCCCAGCCTTGCGCGGACACATCTCGGTGTTTAAATGGTGCCTATGACATCTGACCAAGCGCAAATTATCCGGATATATCTCTGAGAATCAATACCTTCGCGGAGTGGCCAACAGGAGCCTGGAAACTCAGCGGTAGCCCGCAATGGCTTCGATGACGTCGTGCCCGTCGGCGTCGGCCTCCGAGTCCGAGCTCCGAGCCAGCCGCTGATTGCATAGCAAATCTGGGACTTCGTTTCATTTGAATATAAAGTGTGCTTGGCTTGCGGATAACTATATGTTCAATAGACAATGTTGCCGGTCGCGGCCTGCATCTTTGACAGCTCCGCAGTCTCGGAATATGATCGTCTTTTTGATGCCGGACTGCTGTGAACACCTGTGGTTGACGATTGTATGAAATCTAACTATTTTGTTCTCAATTGATGGACACGACTGGAACGTCGGGGCCGTCTAGATCCGTTCATGTGACCCAAGGGGCGTGTGACGACTGTCTCGGCTGAGTGTATGCGGTCCACTGCCAGGTGAGGACCATGATCATGAGGGGAAATTCGGTGGAGTCCAAATCTGAAAGGAGCACACTCTTGAGGCTTCAAGAGGAGGAGGAGGAGTTGATATTCCACCATCGTTGTTATAAGGAGTCGCGAATGAAGAACATGAAATAGCCCTGCCCTGAACCCTCCGATCCTCTGGTTCCGTCCGGCCAGAGCGGAGAAGCGTGAGATCCCGGCCAATCCCGACCGATACAAACGGCCATGGGCGACCGCGTGCTGGGCGGGCAGTGGCGGGGCTGGGCGGCGGAGCTCAAAAGAGCCCACTCGGCCGACTTTGTCCTCCCTCACGTCTCGATCTAGGCTGCTGTATATGGAATCGCCGTATTCGTTCAGTGTCGCCCACAATTTCAGCCCACAATTTCAGCCCACAATTTCAGCCCAACGAACCACTTTGACTCTGCATTCTAGCTGTTCCATCTTGAAGTTAGACTTGAACTCGTCAAAGGTGCAACCCGACGACACGGGCTTCATGAACATTCAAGGCGCGCTGGTCGTCGTACTAGTCGTGCCCACCACCCCGCCGCGTGACGCTCGCTCTCTCCTCCGCGACGGGCGACCATTCGACCGCGACGATGATGAAGGAACCGACGCCGACGTCGACGGCTCCTCTATCTTGTACCTCGTCTTTCATCAAGCAGTACCCCGAACTGGACCCTCAAAACCACCTGCGCGTCTTGGACCAGCACCTGCGCGAGAGCGGCGGCTCGTGTAGCCTCACTCAGGCGCTGCACGACCACTTTAACTCGACCACCAATGGCCACAGCCACGGCTACGGCCACGGCACCGGCAATGGTCTCAATGGGCGCTCGAGTAGGATCGCCACGCCCTTGATGACCCCTCCTCTCTCACCTGCTGGATCATTTGGCGCTCTCTGTGAGTTCGAGTTGGCTCGCTCGCGATTCTCCCACCCCGACGCCGAGCGACTGCCGACTGATTCCGAGCTGAACCTCTCTTTGCCTTGCTTGTGCAGACCCCGAACCTCCCCACCTCTCTCGACCGAGTTCACCTCATCGCTCTTCGTTCGTTTCTCTGCCTCCTGCGCTGTCCAAGACGAACTCGATCGAGGATGAACACGGTCACCATGCGTTGCCGACAACCCAGTTGATGGGCAAGCTGTCAATTGTCGTCGTCGAGGCCAAGAACCTGCGAGTCGAGTCGGGCAAGGAGAAGCCCTACGTCTTGTTGCAGGTGAGTATACATATACTTGGTCCTATACTCTAATTCGTGCTCATCATGTTCCACGGTTTGGCACGCGCTGCACCTGCCTCCTTTAGTACGACCGAACGGACTCGGTCGGCCGAGAATACGGAGCCCCACCACCGAACGCGAAGCCGCTGCTCGGCGTCCCGAAGCGTGGTGGGGGCATCAACCGCCTCAACGGACATCCTCAGGGCCTTGATGGCAAGGGTCTTAACAGTGTACGACGCGTCGGGAGCAACAGCAACGGCTCTGACCCGTACGACCCAACTTCCCCCCTCGGCGCGCGGCCTCCGAAGTTGAATCGCCGCAGTACGACCGAGATGTCGACTTCGACCAGGATCGTTGATGACTCGCCCCCCGTCGGTGACCCCAAGGACATTGGCACGCCCACCGATCCGATCTGGAACCACAACGCCTCCTTCGATGTCATTGCTCCGGGCCGAACGATCCTTATCTGCGTCTACGACAAGCTCGCACCTCAGGGCGGGTTCCCGGCCCACGGCTTCTTGGGTGCCTCGGTCTTTGAAGCGCCATTGAGTGCCGAGACGGGTGAAGATGGCCTAGGTCTGGATATTTGGGTTCCGTGAGTCAATATATCGGAGTAACGTGTTCTGTCCGCTGAGTGCTTATGAGCCTAGCACCTTTACTCGACAGGCTCACGAGTGCGCTCGATCCCAATGTGGGTGGAGAAGTTCGCCTGAGGATCCTGTTCGAGAACCTTCACGTGAGTTTCTACGCTATCGCAGACTTTGCTGTCTGTGCTCTGCATACTGACAAACTCTTTTGTGTTCTTGCCTCGCAGCTGAGGCCCAAGTTGACGGTCGACGACTTCCAAGTCTTGCGAAGGATCGGTCAAGGCAGCTTCGGTCAGGTGTTCCGAGTGCGCAAGAGGGACACCAAGCGTATCTGTAAGGCCTCTTTATAATTACTGTTGTGGTAAGTTCAGGTATACGATGCTGAACGTGCCGAACCCACCACCAGATGCGATGAAGGTCATCTCGAAGAAAAACGTCGTTTCGCGTGAGGCGTTGGCCCAAGTCCTTGCCGAACGTCAAGTCCTGGCGCGAACCCTGGAATCGCCCTTCCTGGTCGGTCTCAAGTTCTCGTTCCAATCTACTACGGACCTCTTCTTCGTCATCGATTACAAGTCAGGTGGTGAGCTCTTTCAGCACCTCCAAAAAGATGGTGGCAGGTTCGAGGAGAGCAAAACCAGGTTTTATGTAGCCGAGATCGTTTTGGGACTCGCGTGAGTGGAGCTGCGGCGATCGTTCGCTGAAAGGCCTTGCTTCTGACTTGGCAAAGTTTCTGAACCGTGTCTTGCTTCAACAGGTATCTGCACAGCCAGAACATCGTCTATCGGGATCTCAAGCCCGAGAACTGCCTCCTCGACGGCTCCGGCCACGTCATCTTGTGCGACTTTGGATTATCCAAGCTGCTCGACTCACCCGAGGCCACGACTCGCACACTGTGCGGAACGACGGCTTTTACTGCTCCAGAGGTCCTGCTCGACATCGAGTACAGCTTCTCGTGCGATTTTTGGTCCCTCGGGTGCCTCGCGTATGAGATGTGCTATGGCTTCTCCCCCTTCTACGCTGAGAACCAAATCGAAGAGTACGAGCGCATCCTGTCGGGCGAGATCAAGATCCCCGCCAAGAAGGGCTACTCGCCCGAGGGTCGCGATCTGTTGCAGCGCCTGTTGACGCGTGAACCGAGTGAACGCATTTCCACCGACGGAATCCGATCCCATGCCTTCTTTGAATCGATCGACTGGACCAACCTCGCTCTGCGACAGGTCTCCCCACCGTTCAAGCCGCCGACTCATGCCGACGAGGACGCATGCGATTATCACGATCTGGGGAGGTCGGGTCATTGGATGTTTGACGAGATCAGGGGCTGCCACTCGGCGCGCGGCTCGTTGTCGGAAGCGAACGGGAATGGGAATAAGACCCCCGACGAGGACGTAGATGGTTTGTTCAGGAACTTCACCTTCACCGCCAAGGAGAAGGAGAAGGAGAAGGAGAAGGAGAAGGAGAAGGAGCTCGCGAACAAGATGCTCGTAACGGAGCGCGCGAACGGGACCAAGGAGAAGACGATCGTTGGTGCGCAAGCGAGGCGGTCAAGCTTTGACCTCATGCCCTGACTCTGGGATCGTCGTCGTCATGTCGTCGTCGAGGATCGAGAAGGAGGAAACTGAGTGCTCGAGCCCTTCCCTACCATGTTGTACAAATTCCCCCATGTTCCAGCGACTTGTCCTCGTGTTATCTCTACTGTGCTACTTATTTTACGACTCTTTTAATCACACCTGCGCTATGTTGTCGGATTTTATCGCATAATGTCCCTTGTCTCGAGCTATCTATCGTCTCGCATTCGGTCTCTCGCACCATCATTACAACTTCCACTCCCCGCCCCGTCATCATTCATGCTTTGTGTCTTCCATTTCTTCACTTCAATTTAGCAGTATCGTTGAATTCACTAAAGGCGCTCCTGTGCCTTCCCATTTGCATCCATTCATTACAACAAGCTTTGTCCTACTCGGGTATCGAGATCATATCTGTGAGTTTTGAGAAGCGACGTCGTCGAACGCTGTCGATGTTGGGTGGTCGCAGGGACCAAGGGCCTTTTCAATGTGAAGAGAGTGGGATGAGCATTTTTTCGAGAATGTGAAGCTGTCGATTGTGCGAGAGAGGAAGCACTGACATCCATAGTGAACTCTCCTTTCGTCCGCCGTGTCGGTCCAGGCGCGGCCAAGAGTTTTGTCAATCTGAAATCCGTCGAAAGAAACAAGATCAGTCCTGTGCGAACCGCATGTCAGACAGGGAAAAGATTCTTTCATCCACCTTTCTCCCTCCAAATCAAAGTACAACACGATCCTATAGAACTGCACCCCTTCATTGACGGGGATCCAACTTTCCCCCAGTTGAGGGATCAGCAAAGCCTCAGCATCCTTGTTCGACCCCCCGAATGTGGTCGGTTCACCATTCGGGTCGAAAAGCTTGAGTGCCAAGGCGGAGGTGAGTATTATGGTGAGTTTGTGCTGGAACGTTAGGCGGTGTATGAGGGAGTGCAACTGGGCGAGGATGTAGGTTCGGGTTTGAGGGGTGAGGGAGGTCGGTCGCAGGTGCGAGGTCAGCGAGTCGAGTATTAGGAGTGTGACCTGCGAAGCGGGTGAGACGTAGGGTTTGAGAGGACACGCGGGGGCGAAGCGGAGGTTGAGTCAGGAGAATTCCTACTCAAAAGCTTAGGCTAGTGGAACTTCACTGACCTTGGGGTGCTTTTCGAGCCATGCCGGTAACGAATATAGCAATGCGATCAGGAGCGAGACGTCGGTGATCCGTTGGTAGTGCAGTCCGTCGAGCGCGGCTTGGACGTCGCTTGCATCACCTGTTGGAGGAGGTAAACTTTCCATTCAGGAATATCCTGTTCTCGGAGCGTTTTAGTGACTCACCTCCTGTATGTTGGGCAAATAGTGTTGCCGTTTTGTGGATCAATGAAGGCAGAAGAGATCCTTCGGCGTCTGGAAGAATATGATCGTTCCCCAAAGATTAGTGTGAGAACCTCGAGGTTGGAAAAGTTCTACCAAGTAGGAACACTCTTACCCACAAGCAAAACTTCCTCGCCGTTGATGAAGTCGATTCGTCGTCTTCGTCGTCGTCGTCGTCGTCGTCGTCGTCGTCGTCGTCGTCCCTCGAAGCTGCGATCGCGTTGAACCTCGTATGCAGTGCATAGCCTAGCGCGGTCCTCGTCTTGCCCGATCCGGGAGGTCCAACCAGCTCCAACACCGATGCTTGTACCAATCCTGTCGATGTAAATGTTGTCGCAGAAGAATCGCCAGCTGCTCCGGTTACGAAGGCGACGGCCGCGGCGGGGTTGGCTGACGTCGGAGCGGGCGAGACGAGATCATCGATCGCCGAGCATGCACACGAGTACCGAGGCGTGTGCAGCGACTCTTGAAGTAAGGCTAGTGCGGTCTGTGAGTGCGCCACTGGAGCGGCTAGGGGTCGGGTCATGGGGATATGGATCGCCTCGGCGTCATGTGAGAGAGCGTGAAGGAAGAGGTCAAAGCGGCGAATGACTTCGCGCGAGGGGAGCGTTTATCAGCGTTTATCGGTCATCACGAGTCATCACGCGTCGCGTCGCGTGAAAGCCACGGCCCACTTGGTCGGCGCGCGGGGACGACGTCGATGGCGCGTCAGAGTTGGCAGGCGGGCTTGCTCACCACCCTAAGCCCATTCACAGCACACGATCGCACGAACAGGCCGCGGCGAGGCATCATCCACGAACGATGAGCAAGAAGCAAAATAACGAGCCCATCAAAGGCCAAGCCTCGCTATTCTCCTTCTTCAAGAAGAGCAGCGACACGCCGTTGTCCTCGGCGCCGTCGCAGCGGGCCACTCCCTCCTCGACCACGACTACAGCTCGGAGCACCGGTAGCACCACCGCCACTTCGGCCGCCGCCTCGTCCGGGACCAAGCAGTTTTCGACGCCTCTGACAGCCAGCAAGAAGCCTGCATCGTCTCTTTGGACTGCCAGCACCAAGAAGCAAGCCGAGGACGGCGCGACCGGCACCGCTGCTGCCCCCACCTCGTCTTCGTTAGGAGGCACTAAGAATGTCAACCGCACACCGCTGACCGAACGTCGCCTCGCTCCTTCGTCGTCGGCATCGTCGTCGGCAGCCGCGCCTGCGCATGTCGGGTCCATGACCAACACCCCTCCTCTCACTTCGGAAGCCGACGCGGTCGTCCCTTCGTCCTCCTCGGCGCCGTCCTCGATCAAAATCGTGAGTCCGCTGGTCGGAACTTTCGTACACGCGTCTTGCACAGAGCTGACCTCTCATGATTCACTGTCGCGCTAGCCTACCAAACGATCTGCTGTCGTCGACTCGGAAGATGACGAAGCCGAGGACGAGATCGTCGCCTTTAAGAAGAAGTTCTCCGTGGCCAAAACCAGAGCCAAGGCCACGGCCGTTGCTGACTCTGAAGATGAGCGAGGTGGGTCTGCTCCACGGTCTGGGATCAAGTCGGGCACTGGCGTCGGCTGATGCTTGCGCATCCGAGCCCTGCAGCGTTCCTTGATGATGATAGCTCATCGGAGGAAGAGGTCCGACCCCGCAAAAAGGCGACAAAGGGCAAGGGCAAGAAGGCCGACGACGACGACGATTTCTCAGCGAGTGGGGTGCCGACAGCGACAGTCAGTCGCGAGTCACGAATTTGTAGAGGGTCCATCTATATTACTGACGCCTGCCTTGTGCTGTAGGTGAAGACTACTTCAAGGACGACATCGACATGGACGAGGTCGATAGCGACGCTTTCGAGCCTGCGCTCAAGAGCAAGGGCAAATCCGTCGCTTCGTCTTCCCCTTCAACGAGCAAGAAGGCGGCCCCGACTGCGTCACGACCACCCCTCAAATCCGCTGGTGCTTCGGGCTCGGGCGGGCTGTCAAGCATCAAGACGCAAGCCGAAGTGGCGCGAGAGGTTAGTCGTGCCGGTGCCGAGCGCAACCGCTCACGCTGACGACCGTGGTTGGCGATACAGAAAGCGAAGCAGCAGAAGAACGCCAACGAGGCCACCTTCAGCTTCCTTGTGGATCCCAAAGATGTGAGTCTATGCCCGAGATGTTGCACGCGGAGAGACGGATGTGCGTTCTGACAAGAATGGTTCTGCTCAGGCCGACGGCATTCGTCCTGGAGAGCCGGGTTACGATCCTCGCACGTTGCGCATCCCGACGAAAGCGTGGAACACATTCACGCCTTTCGAGCGTCAGTTCTGGGAGATCAAGCAGAATCACTATGACACGGTCCTTTTCTTCCAAAAAGGCAAATTCTTCGAGCTCGTGAGTTGTTTTTCAAATCGGATGGCTGCTGTAGCCCGCTGATTCATCCCTCCACTTGTGATCGCAGTACGAGGAGGATGCCGCGATCGGACATCGCGAATTTGATCTGAAGCTGACCGATCGCGTCAAGATGAAGATGGTCGGAGTGCCCGAGGCGAGCTTCGATTTTTGGGCCGCCAAGTTCCTCGCCCAGGGGTACAAGGTCGGCCGCGTCGACCAAGTCGAGACCGCGTTGGGCGCCGAGATCCGAGTCAAGGACGGCAAGGCGAATGGCAAGCCCGCGGCGAAAAAGACCGGCAGCCAGAAGGAGATTGTTCGCCGTGAATTGAAGAGCGTGTTGACATCGGGTACGCTCGTCGATGGCAGTCTGCTTACGGATGACTTGTCGAGTCACTGCGTTGCTATCAAGGTCAGTCTCGAAGCGTTCAGCGTCAGGAGCAGACCTGAGCAGGTGTCTCAGCATGAAGAAGCTGACGCTTTGGTGACCTCACACAGGAGGACACCCCAACCGCATCGTCGATCCCCACCTTCGGGGTATGTGTGCTCGACGCCTCCACGGCCCAGTTCGACCTTTCATTCTTCGCCGACGACACGGGACGCACCCAACTCGAGACACTCATCCGTCAGCTCAAGCCCAAGGAGGTGATCCACGAGAAAGGCAACTTGACCGTCTCAACCTTGCGCCTCTTGCGCTCCTGCCTCAGCATCGACACCCAGTGGACCGCGCTCAAGGCGGGCACCGAGTTCAAACGCGCCGACGACACGCGCAAGTCGCTCGTCAAGCTTTTCAAACAGGCCAAGGAGGCCAACTCGAGCAACGACGGTATCGATGTCGAGACGGCCGCCGAGGAGGAAGAGGTGGCGCTGGTACCCGAGAGCATCCGCTCAATGTACGACAAGCCCCTCGCCATGTCGGCCCTGGGAGGCATGATCTGGTACCTCGAGCAGCTCAACCTCGACAAGGAGCTCGTGACCAACAACAATTTCAACATCTACGACCCATTGTCCCAGGGCCGTGCGCTAGTGCTCGACGGCCAAACATTGGCTCACATCGAAGTATTGCAGAACTCTCAAGGTGGCATCGAAGGGACGCTGCTGCAGCTGCTCAGTCGATGCGTCACCCCCTTTGGCAAGCGTCTCTTCAAAGTCTGGCTATGCGCTCCGTTGCGAGAGGCCGCGGCGATCAACCAGCGCCTCGATGCCGTGGAGGATTTGCTCGCTCACGCCAACTTCGTCTCGACTTTTGACTCGATGGCCAAAAATATGCCAGATCTTGAGCGCATGCTTTCGCGCATCCACGCCAAGTCGTGCAAGAAGCAGGACTTTCTCAAGGTCGTCGCCTCCTTTGGCAAGGTCGCGAGGACGCTCGAGGTGCTCGGCAACCTCGCCGACGAGTTCGTTTCGACTGGAATCCCGCAGTTGATTCGGAGTGCGCCGGATCTGGGACCTTTGCTGGAGGAGATCGAGGCGATGTATGACGGGGACGAGTTACTGCCTGTTGAAGGCAAGGACGAGCAGTATGAGGTGAGTGGGTAGCCTGGGCACGGTCTAAAGCTGTCTACTGATGTTTCTGGCCATCTTTCCGCAGGTTGTTCGGCGGAAGGTCGAGCAGATCGAGGAACAGCTGGATGAGCAGTTGGAGAAAGCCAAGAAGGATTTACGGTGAGTCGAGGGCTATTCTCGATGGAGCAAACTTCCTCAGCTGCTGAGCCGAATGTACACGCTCTCGTCTGCAACAGCTGCCCCGCAATCATCTACCGCGATATTGGCACCAAGGATATCTTCCAGGTCAGTGATCACTTTTCGTCCGTGTCGTCGAAAAAAACAATGACACGAGTGCTGATCTGTTTGCTGCGATTCCAGATCCAAGTCCCGGTCAAGATCAAAGCACCTTCCAATTGGACCAAGATGTCCAGCACCAAAGTGAGCCCGAGCTCAATTACAGTCAATTTGAGTCTGCGCTGAGCAGAACGTGTGTCTTCCTCGACTCTCTCAGGATGTGAATCGTTACTGGTCGCCCGAAGTGACGCGTTTGGTGACCAAGCTCAAGGAGGCGCGTGAGCGCAAGCAAACTGTCGTCAACGAGTTCCACTTGCGCGTCTACGCTGCCTTTGACCGCGACTATTCAACGTTCTTACAAGTCGTCAAGACAGTCGCCGAGCTCGACTGTCTGTTCAGTCTGTCCAAGAGTTCGGCGGCGCTCGGTGAGCCCGCGGTCCGGCCAGAGATCGTGGCCGATTCGGATCGCGCTGTGCTCGAGTTCGAAGAGCTGCGCCATCCTTGCGTACTCAAGTGAGTTGATTCACTACGATAAGTTCTTTTTGTTCATGTACTTAGTCGAGCCTTGCGCAGTGCTTCGGTCGATTTCATCCCCAACGACGTCACTCTCGGCGGTGACGCCGAGCAGCTCATCTTGCTTACGGGTCCCAATGTGAGTATTCTGGCCCACGGGACTGTTTGATTGAAGCTTACAAGGTTCCTTGATCTTCACAGATGGCGGGTAAAAGTACACTACTGCGCATGACCTGTGCCGCCATCATCATGGCTCAACGTGCGTGTGAAGGGCACCACAGTGGAAACCCCCGTCCCAATCTGACTAACTGTCCATCGTCGCACAGTTGGCTGCTTCGTACCGGCTGCCAGAGCGCGCATCGCCCCCGTCGACGCCATCTACTCTCGAATGGGTGCCAACGACTTTATCTTTGCGAACGCGTCGACGTTCAAGGTCGAAATGGACGACTGCAACAAGATCCTGACCAAGGCGACACCTCGATCGCTCGTCATTCTCGATGAGCTTGGACGCGGTACCAGCACGTATGATGGGATGGCGATTGCCTACTCGGTCTTGCATCGCTTGGCGACCCATGTTGGTTGCGTCGGCTTCTTTGCTACCCATTTCACGTCGCTCACTGAGGACTTTGAGGTGAGTGGACGACAACGACATCTTCGATCACCACAGTTGATGGCCGCTGACCAAATTGTCGTCGTATTCTTCGCAATCTCTGGATCACAGTACCATCCTCAGTGAGTCCCGCTGCATTGCCGAGTATGTTCTTGTACGACAGTTCGCTGACCGCCAACTGGCTGCTCAGAATTCGACTGTGCAACATGAGCACCCAGGTCTCGGATGATACTCGAGCAGTGGTTTTCTTATACAAACTTGTGAGCTCAGGCGAAAATTTCCATCTGTTCGTTGTGCTAGAACCTGACACCAGACTTGGGTGACTGTAGATCAACGGCTCGGCGCCAAAGTCGTACGGACCCCATGTGGCGGCGATGGCGGGTATGCCCGAGTGAGTTGTCTGCTCCATCATTGTACAACTGGATCAACTGGCACACTTCACTAACCCCGAAACCTTTTGAGGATGTGTTCAGCTCGCTCGTTCAACGCGCAATCGACATCTCGCGTCAATTCGAGACGACCTCCCGAGCGCGCGAGCGCAAGATGCGCGCCAACGAGTCCCTGCCGCTAACGCTCCAAGCTGATGCGGCGTTCCTCATAAAGCTAGCTCAACTCGGCCTGGACTCGTACGAAGGTGACAAGTCGCAGTTGGTTCGCACGTTCAAGACGATCAAGCAGGGTATCGATCTCGTGCACCGGAAACCTTGCGCGGCATCTCCATCGTCGTCCGCACCCGCGGCTCCTTGAGGGGGCTGGTCCATGAACCCCTGTCAGCAATTTTTACCCTCCCAATACCTCGCGCCAGGCCGGATATTCTCATTTTTCAGTTACTAAGTGTATTTTGTGGCTCAGTGATTTTTCCGGGAATGTGCTTTGCGTTTTCCTTAGAATCCTAGTTTATAGTCAGTGGCCTGCCATGTGCACCCTGTATACCCTGTACGCCTCGCCTCACGTTGCGGATTGGCGGAGCAGCCGAAACGAAGCGTGCGGGCTCCCAGTAAATCTTGAGCAAGTCCTGTGTACACGAGAGGACGCCCTTGAAGATCTTGGATGGGATTTGATGACATTGACTCTTTGCGGCTTTTTAGCATGTAGATATACATATGGGCGAGGGGGAAGCGGGCCCAGGGACAGATCGCATCCGGCTTCACTTTAGCGCGCGCACGAGCGATCCTTGTCGGGACAGGAAGGAGCCCTGCAAGCATGCGCCTGGGCCGGTTCTCAAGGAGTCGCTCCCTGGGGCTCCTGTGGCTCCAACTGTATGGATCCTACACGCCTCGAGCGAAGCGCGAACCCTGATCGACTTGGCCGCCTCCCATACCGGAAGAAGGAGCAGGATTGACGCTCTTGATCGCCTTTCCAGAAAACTGAGTAAGGAAAGGGCCCAAAGGTAGACTGTTTCCGCTTGCGAGCGAGCAGAATCTGCGCGCCTGCCCGCTCTGCCCTCGGCCTGCTCACCCCTGCTCGCTCCGCTTCGCCTCTGACCTTCATCTCCGTGTGCGCCATCTCTGATTATTTGGTGGTCAGGACTTACGTCGGTTCTCTCGTTTTGTCTGTCTCCACACGCCTCACCTGCAGTCTTTCCTTTACACACACCTACATCGGTTTCACTTTCTGCCTCCTGTCGCTTGTGAGCTAGTTCAATCGCACGCGATCCCACAAGGCAGGTCGATGGGCCCAACCACGCCCTATTCGACCCCACCCGAAGAATTCCAAAACCCTTTTGAAGACCCGATCATGAGCCCCGAAAAGTTGTACGACGACGAATCGATTGCGACGAGCAATGACCGACCCAACCCGCCGCCAGCGCGACAGTTGGCCCGGCGTGCCCGCGACCTCGACGACCCATCGTTCGATCTGGAAGAAGAAGCGCTGCTGGGCCATCCTTTTTTTCGTCGTCGCTGGTGTTGCCGTCGCTGTTGCGTTGAGTGCTCGTGCTTACGAGGATGTTCGCAAGAATGCCAAGGAGAATCATCGCATCGGCATGGCGCTGTGCGAGCAGTACCCCACCCTTCCTTACTGGTGAGGAAAATTTGGCACTAGGCCCCGCCTCTTCCCGATTGTACTGACCTCGATCATTTCGCCATCATAGCCTCAAAATTAAAGACGAGGTCGATCCTTACAATGGAACGCTTCGCTACGCATATGGAATGGTCTCGATCAACGACACCACCGCCTCTCTTTCGAACGACACCACTGCCGCCGGCGCCGTCCCACTCGACCGGCCCTTCTCTGATCCACAAGCTCATCATCGACGCCGAGCAACAATGGAATGCCAAGCTCGCCAAGCAGAGTCATTCGCTGGTCCAAGCCGTTGCGGAGTACAAGCGACGTTACAACCAGAACCCTCCCGTCGGTTTCGATCGATGGTACCAGTTTGCGATGGACAACAACGTCCAGCTCATCGACGAATATGACTCGATTTACGAGAACATTTTCCCTTACGCCTCGATCCCGAGTCGGGAGCGATCGGATATGCTCCAAGAGGACGGAACGTTGTGGGTCCACAACCTCAGTTTCACGATCGACGTGACGAACCACAAAGCAACCCTCGAGGGCCCGATGACGAAAAGAAACTCGCGCGCGGAGAACCTCTTGTTGCTCATGGAGGGTATCTTGCCCATGCTTCCCGATCTCAACTTGACCGCGACTGGACACGATTCGGGCTACATCGTCGCCTCGGCCAACATGAAGGCAAAGCACATTGAGGCCGCCAAGGCCAAGCGATGTAAGTCATAGATCGTCTTCATACTTCCTCACGGCCAGCATCTGATCAACTTCGTTTCTTTTTCACTGTATCAGACCTCACTGAGGACCAGCTCATGGACTTTGACGATAACAAGACTCTTGAGTAAATCCCGCGTCGGGAATCCGTATCTTCTGTTCCTCTCCTGGCGAGCTGACCGATGGCTTCATTTACCACACCCTCCCAGTGGCTGGCAAACTCTTTGTCCCCGCGGCTCACCCATTCGCAACGTCTCTCACATCGCCGACCGGCTGGCCAAGAACGAGCGCAAGCAAATCACTTTCATCGAGGACCACAAGGAGGCGATGAACATGTGCAACCATCCCGAGATCCAGCCTCTTCATCGATACACATCCTGGTCAGTAGCGCTTCACTCAAGAAGTGATCAAGCCAATTTTCAGCTTGACTGACCTACGTCCACAGGGAGGTCCTCGACCGGCTCTCTGTTCCCCCTCTTCGCTTTCGCCACCACGACCATGCACAACGACCTCTTGCTCCCTTCGCTCGAGCAATGGGAGGTGCCACCCGGAGACGACCCGACTTGGCCGAAAAGACCAACGATGGAACGGCGTCCAACTTGAACCTTTCGGACAAGACCAACCGCGAGATGTCGCAGCGACCTCGATTGATCGAGTGTGAGTTGATGAGCCCTGGAGACTCTCTATGCGCGCTTCGCTAGAACTGACCTTGGGGCTCGGGTTTGATTATTTCGACAGTCAGAGACGTCAACGGCAATGTGACTGTTCAACTCTCACTCAGCGACACAAATGACACGATCGGCCCCGTGACGGCCTTATACCGTCCCCGCTCGTGAACTCGCTGCAGACTACTTCGACTTTGCTCTCGTCGGCGACTTTCCCCAACTGCCTTCCCCGAGGACCAAGCGGCTTTGCGACCAGTTCAATCCACGCACCGCTTCAGCCCCTTCATGACGCGCGAGGAACAAAACCTCTACAAGTACACGATGGATATCGACGGCAACGGATGGTCACGTCGTTTCCATACCTTGATGAGCTCCATTTCGCTCGTGCTCAAGTCGACGATTCGTCCTGAATGGTACTTTGATCGTATTCAACCTTGGTACCACTACGTCCCCGTCAACGTCGATTATACGGACCTGTTCAATATCATGGCTTTCTTCAAAGTGACATTGATGGCAATGGCGCGCACGACCAACTCGCCGAGACGATGGCGGCTCAATCCAAGGAATGGGCCGCGGCGTACTTGGCGTTGGGATGACATGCAGGCGTACCTCTACCGCCTGTTGCTAGAGTACAATCGCGTCATGCAGCGCGATTCCAACAATTTACAACAGCCACGACTTTGCGCATATTAGGGGCACCCTCCTTTCTTGAGCTTTTCTTCGTCCCGGATCTCTGTTCAGTACTTTGATAGCGCTTCAACTTCCTTTCTCTGTAGCCCTATCTCCAATGGTCCAACCTTGAACTGTAGCATCTTTTGCATACCACGACCATACATAATGTTGCGAGACAAAATTTGGATCAAGGCGTATACCCTGTGGAAGAGGAGACCCAAGGTCAGTGAAGGTTAGAAACCTTCCAGGACCAGGCGCGTTGCTGTATCCACCTTTGCAAGATCATCTTGTCCATCAACCTCGATTCGCGCCTCTTCTCGGCATCCTTGACGACTTCTTCGGCCGGGCCTGGAGGAACGATGACTCGTCTTAACCTACCTTTCAGAGGTCTGCCCGATGAAGGATCGACAGCGACGAGGGTGAAGAAGCTTTCGCTGACCAAGCGGATCGCCGGTTTGGGTGAATTCCTATCCTCTGCCGTAGCAACGACGTACACCTCGATCGAAGAATCGAAAACCTTGATGACGCATGCGCGGATGTAAACGACTTCGCCCGGAATGACGGGCGATTTGAACGTGAGGGAATCGATGCAAGCGGAAGACCAAGAAACGGAAGGGAGGATACAACGCGCCGCGATCGCCGAGGCTTCTTCGATCCATCGCATCAGGTAACCGCCGAAGAGGACACCTTTAGAATTGACGAATTGCGCTCGTACGATCCAGAGACACATGATCAAGGTGTCGATCATCTCGAGGGGGGCTTGCGAATCCGTGCCTTGCGATCGATCGTCGTAATAGCTGCGGAGTTGGGACGGTTGAGGTCGGGTGTTGGCCGTCGAGATGGGTTTCCCAACGGTCAATCGTCGATAGCCGCCATGACCCTTGAGCTGGCTGATTCGTTCGACTTCCTTGAGTGGCATCTTGACGGTATCCGTGAAGCCTTCGATCGCCACTACGACATCCTCACCTTGGATCTGCACCTCGGGATCCTTCCTCATCCAAGCGTCGACAATCATCTCCTTCTGCAATGCCAGTAAGACCGCTTCCGTCAGGCCCTCTGATTCGGGTGGACTGATTTGTTTCGACTCTTGTTCGAGTTGAAAGACCTGGGCTCGGAACGCGGACAGGGTCGAGTCGTTCTTGGAAGTGCTTTTGATGCGGTGCGCTCGTCGTCGACCGGCCAAAAGGTAACGCTTGTGTTCGATCGACGTGAGCGGTTCGATGGGTGGACTTGGGCTTTGATGGGTCTGGGCGGGGAGACGAGGCCCAGGGATCGGGCGATGGAGGTGATGAAAGTCGGTGCAGGGGCTGGGGTAGGTTTGGCGACAAAAGTCAAGTAGGCGTGACAGCAGTAGGATTGGTGACCAGTCGGATCGGTAGAGCGTTCCCTCATGACTCTGATCCCAATCTCCATCGAACTAACCCAAGCACGATTGACCGCACCGGAAAGGAGGACGACATCGCCGACGAGGATCTCGGAGAGAAAGACGACCCGATCGGCCGAGATGGTGACGCAAGGTCCTCCGGCCGCTTTGGCTGCGACGACGCCGGCGGTGACGTCGATCAGTTTGAGCAGTTCGCCGCCGTAGACTCGACCGTGTTCGTCGCAGTAGCTTGGGTCGATCTTGACGCGGTACGAGACTGAACTAGCCGAGACGGATTTGGGCGAGACGACTCCTTGAGCGGGGGTTCCCTGGTCGGACAAGGCCGTCATCAAGTGGAGGCCTAGGCGTGCGAGGCAGAGAGCAGCAACGGTTGAGCCGATGAGGATTGACCCTGATGACAAGGGCATTGACGTTGCCATGCTTGCGCAGGGACGCGGAAGAGATGCGGATGGCTTCGTCGAGGCCCGAGCTCTGTAGATTGAGGCATAACAGGTTGGAGCGATCAGTTAGGGTGGGGCTCCAGTCAGAAAGTAAGGGAGTCGACTGACGTGTTCTTGCCCGAGGGTGCTGATGGAAACGATGGACGACCACACGGCGGGTGAACAAGGCGGCAATGTCACGTGACCTGGGACGGGTCGAGAGCACAGAGCGAGCCACTTGTCGACTT